CCCGGATAAACATATCAGGTGACTGGGTGATGACTCAGCGCTTCCGATGTCCCACCTGGACCAGCCGCGGGTACGGATCGGCTGTGAATTTCGGCAGCGGCAAGAAGAGATGTCAATCTGCCTAAGAGGGGATTTCAAAGGTAATAGGTAGCCAAAAAAAAAGAACGGGTGTATGTAGAATTTGATAGTACTTAGTCTAGAATATTTCTACTAGCTAATCACCAAGTTCAGGAGTTCTAGGATTAAAAGGTATTGAAGAGCAATTAATTGTAGTAGGCGGGAGAGAGCCCGGGAATCCACATTTCCGGGGAAAACGAATATCACACTCGGGAATTATTCCGCTCTGACTGCCGTGCGGGAATATAAGAAGTGGGATATTGCCGCTGCCACGAGTGTTTAGTCTTTTAATAAGTTGCTGTGCACTTGGAATTTCTAATATTAACATCCAATCTCTCATTTGGAAGTCATTAGCTATGCCTTCTCAAGTGGCAACATGTCTACGCCTCGCGCGTCAGTTCTCGGCCAATCCAGCCCAGGTAAGTAATTTGCCCATGGCTCATATCGCCCATATCCCATTTTGAGTCGCGAAGACTGACATGTCTTGCCTTTTACCAGCACCAACGTTTTATGGCCCGCGCATTCTCCAGCAGTGTCCGCCGAAGTGAGATCAACAAGGTTTACCCTTCCGCCGAAGTAGCAGTCAAGGACATGAAGTCCAACTCGACTCTGCTTGCCGGTGGATTCGGGTTGTCTGGTGTACCTGACTCACTGATCAACGCCGTCCTGGAGAACCCTTCAATCACTGGCCTGACCGTGGCCAGTAACAACGCCGGTGTAGACGGAGCTGGTCTCGGTCTGCTCCTCAGGTCCAAACAGATCAAGAAGATGATTGCTTCTTACGTCGGCGAGAACAAGACCTTCGAGCGCATGTACCTCACTGGTGAGATTGATTTGGAGCTCACTCCTCAGGGAACTCTCGCTGAGCGGTGCCGTTCCGGCGGTGCGGGAATCCCCGCGTTCTACACACCCGCCGCCTTCGGTACCGTGGTGCAGACCGGTGCGGTGCCCCTGCGACACAATGCCGACGGCACAGTCGCAAAGTTCAGTGAGCCGCGTGACACCAAGGTGTTCGATGGCAAGAGCTACGTCATGGAGGAGTCGATCAAGGGTGACTACGCTTTCGTCAAGGCCTGGAAGGCCGACAAGCTTGGTAACTGCCAGTTCCGCTACGCGGCCGCCAACTTCAACGGTGCCATGGGCCGGAACGCCAAGATGACTATCGTCGAGGCTGAGCACATCGTCGAGCCCGGCGAGATTGATCCCGCTGCCGTCCACCTACCCGGTATCTACGTCAAGCGTGTTATCCAGAGCACTGCCCCGAAGCAGATCGAGAAGTTCACCTTCGCCAAAGAGGAGGGCGCTGACACCTCTGCTCTCGGTAAGGGTGATACCGCCAACAAGCGTGAGCGTATCGTCCGTCGTGCCGCTAAGGAGTTCAAGAACGGCATGTACGCCAACCTCGGTATTGGTATGCCCATGCTTGCTCCTAGCTTCGTCGACCCCTCCGTCGAGGTGACCCTGCAGTCTGAGAACGGTATTCTCGGTCTCGGCCCTTACCCCAAGCAGGGTGAGGAGGATGCCGATCTCATCAACGCCGGCAAGGAGACTGTCACCCTCAAGCCTGGTGCCAGCTGCTTCGGCAGCGACGAGTCCTTTGGCATGATCCGCTCTGGCCGTATCGACCTGACCATTCTGGGTGCCATGCAGGTCAGTGCCAAAGGTGACTTGGCCAACTGTACGTTCCCCCCCCCACGCTTCCTCCGTTTTATGCATCTAACTAACATTCTCTCACAGGGATGCTCCCCGGTAAGATCAAGGGCTTCGGCGGTGCCATGGACTTGGTCTCCAACCCATCCGCCACCAAGGTCGTCGTGACCATGGAACACACTGACAAGAAGGGTAACGCCAAGATTGTCAAGAACTGCGAATTCCCTCTGACTGGACCCGCCTGTGTGAGCCGTATCATCACGGACCTCTGCGTCTTCGACGTTGACTTCTCCCACGGCCTGACTCTTATTGAGATCGCCGACGGTATCACCGTCGAGGAGGTCCAGGCTAAGACCGATGCCCCCTTCAAGGTCGCCGATGACCTGAAGCCCATGATTTAAATTTGCATGCAAATTCTATGATTCTTTAAGCGTTTTGTATATAGCAATTAGGAGTTAGATTGTTTCCAAATTCATTCCCATGGACATATCTTGGATATGCATCAAGAAGAACATTTCTCTGCACAAATCTCGTACATTTTGAGTAGAAAATATAGTAGGTATACAGTAAACAAATAAAAGATAGAAAAGGTATTGGTACAAGTCATGCAACCCATCAAATAAAACCCCATAATGCTGACCCAAATCCAGTGAGACAATGATAAAACAAAATTTCCCAAGTGTTCCATGTCAAAAAAAAAATAATCAAAAGTCTATACATGCAGCAAAAACAGAATCATCACGTCAAGCGGATAATACCGGCCAGCCTCTTTTTTAACCGGCCAAGCCAATCGCGGTTCGGCGCCTCCGCGAACTCACGTACGACATTGTCATAGTGGTCTGGGTTACTGGCCGGCCGGCGCAGCTTCTCCGGCATAGGATATTTGCGAGCGTAGCGGTTGTTCAGCAGCGATTCAAGTGCATTCACGGAGGACTCGGAGATTGCTGGGCTGGACTTGTCCGTCGGTTGGAGACGGGATTCAATGTAGGATTGAACGGAGACTGAGGCTGGGCGGACTGCATCCGAGGGCCAGTGCTTGAGGAGGTGTGTGAGGCGGCTTTGGAGGGAGCGCGGGCTAAGGGTCTAGATGGTTTGTTAGGAGATTGTTTGGGATTGAACGTTCGAAGGAAGCTTGTCGATGATGTTGTATGGAATAAAATTTGGATGTTGGGTAAGATACTCACAGGTGTTTTAGCCATGGTGGACAAGAGATATCACAGGATAACTGTGGTATAGGGGAAGGATCTTCCTTTGAAAGTTGCGGCGAAGACGGGAACAGTCTATTTTGGCCTGGCGCATCAGGCATCATCAGCCACATCCATTCCTGTTGCCTTCTTCATCAACCCCGACATTTTTCCATCCCCTTGTACTCGTGTTATATCATTTTTGCTTTCCAACCTAAGTTCTTTCTGTCTCATTTTTCTTTCTGATTCTATTCAGGGTCACTTCCCGCTCAGCTCGCCATGAGCTCGCAGCGCTATTCACGGGTACGCAATCCCCCCCCGCTGATCCCCTATCAGAACAATCCCACCCCCGGATGGGATCCCTCGACGACATACTGACCACTATATGTATAGGTTAATGCCCAAGATGAAGAGGAAGGACCACATTCCTATCCGTTGAACGCGCGACCCGAACACAGCAACTCTTCGCCTTCATCTTTCCGTTCCGGGTCCCGCTCGTCGTCACCATCGTCGAGGCGGCTATTACACAACGATTCACAACACAACGATGACGATCAGACACTGGCCGATGCCTTTGGCGATGAAGACGAGTCCGATGATGATAATGAGCCGGACGACAGACAGCGCTTGATGCGAGCTGACCCTGACTTCCGGGCTCCCCCGGATAACGATCATACCGCCACAGCGTCCTCGTCCTCGTCCTCGTCGGAATCGAGGGTCGATGTACAGGATCCGACTCAACCGGGGCTTCTCAGACGGCCGACGAATTTACCGAGTTTCACAGCACCGGCGTCTGGCGCAAGTCGGCAGATCGCCTCATCGAATGACGGAGTCTTTGCCAATCTTGCCGCCAAGCCAGAACGGGGCGAGAAGAATGATGATCTTCCCCCTGTAAGTTGATATTTGAGTGTTTGGTGATATACCTGAAAGACCTGTATACTGATATCTTATTTAGTCATACGAAGAAGCCGCCGCTGATGCGACACCGCCATACTGGGAGACTACGATTGTGGCTCCAGGTATCTCGTCCGACGAGGTCTATGTCGATGGACTGCCTGTTGGATCCGTTTTCTCATTTGTCTGGAACGCCATGATCTCAATGTCATTCCAGCTCGTTGGCTTCTTGCTGACCTATCTCCTCCACACCACCCACGCCGCAAAGAACGGCAGCCGAGCGGGCCTCGGTCTTACTCTTGTTCAATACGGCTTCTACATGAAAGGCGGCAGCGACAGTTCGAGCTCCGACCCTGGAAGCTCTGAATATGTTCCTCCACCTGACCCCAACAGCCACAACTTCGACCCTAACTCGGTTAATGAGAGCGGGGGCAGCGGAGGAAGCGGCGCCATATCTGGAATCACCACCAGTGAATGGATCTCATATATTCTCATGATTGTTGGTTGGTTCATTTTGATCCGTGCGGTCAGTGACTTCCTGCGGGCACGACGTCATGAACAGCTTGTGTTGCAGAGCCCGGATCGTGGTCTGGGTGTACCAGTCATCGCGGAAGGTGAACGGTCCGAGACTGTTGTCTAATATCGGGTATACATGGGGTTTTCACCTGGTTTTCTTTTTCTTTTTTTTTTTTTCGGGACCTGGACATGGACATGGAAATGTCTGGCGTTGTAGCATGGAGTTTCTTTATTGTATCGACACCCCCCAGGAGTACTGCCTCCGGATTGCATTCCTTCGGTTTTTCTTTTCCTTTTTATCAGATCGTTCTACTCCTACTTTTATTTCCGGCCGTGTAGCTATTCTGAAGATACCAAATATATGAACAATGAGCAACAATAGCAGTTGGCATATTTATGTAGTAAGGAGCACACTCAATACTCTTTTGAGTTAAGTCTTCCAGAATACCGCTAACAACATCAGCAGCTTCTATAACCACCACAGTTTCCTCTAATATTCCCTGTATGTTCAAAGCTCAAAGCCCTCAGCCTCTTCCCCCACAATATCCACCGCTCCCGCGTCAGCCCACCTCTCAGCCACAGCTCCGTCTGATCATCTAGCGCCGCCCAGTGCCGCAGCTCCTCATAGTCCGCCTCCACCTAGGCATCCAGCGCCCACAGCTGTTCCGACAACATCCTACGCGCTTTTTGTAGGCGTGAATAAGGTCCATCACACTCTAGCCCGTCGCAACACGCAAAGAAACCCCATATAAGATGCACGTTGCCTTTACCTTTACTCGCTTTTAGAAGCGCAGCTGAGAATACACAGAAACGGAGAAAGTACTCTCCGCCACTGCTACTTAACGTACTAATAGTAGAGTTATCCGCACCCGAATCACGCACACCATCCCAGTCGCGCCAGGCCTCGAGGATATCATGCACATCGCGCCACTGCGCGCTGAACTGCGGCAGTTTCTGCCAGTGTGGCTTTCCGTCGGCTTCGATAGAGCTGCTAGCATTGCATCTTGCGCGTAAGTTAAGCTGCGTTGGTGGGTGCGCGCGGAGGGTGGCGAGGAGGGCAAGGTGAGGGTCGAGTTCCCAGAGCGCGTGGGCCGGGTCTGAAGAAGTAGTTACAGAGTTGACAAGATCGGCCGCTGTCTCGGCTGGTGTTGGCGTCGGGGAATGGTTTCTAGGGGTGAGAAGGGATTGGATTGGCCCGGAGAAGGGGTTTGGGGTGTCTGCCCTGGGCATCCAATATAGTTGTCATTATAGATGAGGTGGAGGTTGGAAATGGTGCCAAGGTCTTTGGTGGATTTCTGTTGGTTATGGACGTCTTTTAGGCGTTTGGCGACCATTTCTGGCCCCCAATAGCGGTTATTTTCGGCATCAATTGCAGTGAATTCGGATTCTACCAACAATATTGTAAGTTGGAAGTTGGAAGTTGGAGGGGAGTAGATCCCAACGTAATCAAGGCCCCAAGGGTTGATGCCCCCCCCCCCGGTACTGCGCCACGATAGGCAGCATTATATCCTTGTTCCTTACCCTTGCGTCCCTTTATGTGTCTTGCCTGTGCAACTTCACCCCCACTGATGAACAGAAATCAGAAAAGCGAACAAAAGAGAATTCAGGAATAATCCAGGCGGCCCTTCCGGCGGACCAACTCCGCCCACTACCGAAAGAGCCCCATTGTTTATTTGCCAACCTCAACTCAACATAACCTCAGTCTTTGGATATTTTACCTGCGTTTCTTGTCGGGTGGATCGCGGCCTTGTCCGCAATGTCTACCGTTCCCCAGGGCCCTGTCGAGGCACGATCACTGTCGTCGGTCACCAATATCGCATCAAATCCCCCCGCCTATCCACGAAATCCCACCCACGAGAAGCACGAACCACTCTCTCTATACATTGTGCGTGTACCAGGAAGCAAAGGTATGAATCAATTCCACAATATTGACATTCTACTCTCCGTCTTTCGCTCTCGAATATCCCATACTTGCGCATTATCTGAAGATAAACCATAACTGACTGTTGTTTAATACGCAGACATTTTCCTCTCACCTCTCAAACCACCGACGAAATCCAGTGTCTCTGCTGAAGCGATCAACGCCTCTCTTTACTATCTCCATGTTGCGACTCCCGACGATGATACCCTGCTCCAGGAAGTGGAGGAAGAGCGCGAAGAGCAGGCCCAATTGCGCAAGGAGCGCCTCGAGAAAGCGGACGTCGACGACCCAGCGCAACGCGAGTTCGCGCGGCTGAACAACGTGCGCCGGAAACCAGTTGGTGGAGGGGGGACCTCAACCCTGAGCATTTGCTGGCACCGCCTCAACATGATACCACTGCTCCTCCCGCCTTGCCTTCATGTCCAATCCCTGTGCTGCAGGATGATATCGCTTCCCCGGCCTTGCCACCACGTCCAATTCCAATGCCGCAGGATGCTACTGCTTCTCCGACCTTGCCACCACGGCCAACCCATATGCCGCAGGTTACTGCGGAGAATGTATCTTTCTCTGGGACTCCAGTCGCCAACATACAGCCTCCATTGAATAATAATATACCTAGAGGGGTAACGGTAGAATCGGGTGGTAATAGCGCTGCGCCGCGGCGACCTTTGCCTCCCTTGCCGCCCGATGAAGACTCATGGACCAATTCTGCAGCAGGCGAAGACCCGTCCAAAAGGACATCCCGGTGGAGCGCGTTTACCGAACAATTGCAAACCCGGGGAGAGAACTGGAAGGAGAAGTATGAGGCAAAGTACGAGGCACTGTCGGCTGGCCGTCATAGCCTTGACTCTTCTGGACCGCATTTTCGGCCTCGTTCTTCGCATAACCGTACTGGATCACCATTAGGAAGCCCCGGGCAATCTCCTAACCGGCATAGAAACGCACATGGCAACCCTCCTAGCAATGCTGGCTTTCATATCACGCTCATTCGACGTGATCCCACGTCTGGTACACAATGGAATGTGGCAACTATATCAACCCCCCGAATGGACCGCAACACCGTCGATATCGAGATCTCCACGCCGGGATATAATAGGTTCGCAGGTTCAAATGAGATGCCTTTATTATCCAGCCTTGCAGCGAATATCCCGACGGGAATCGGACGCCTACCCAACTCTGCCATTGCCCAGTCCTTAGTCACTGAGCAACCAAAGGAGCAACCAACCGGCCCACGCAAGTTCCACCGCCAACTCTGCGTATCGAAGCCATTTGACGATTCTGTTGCCGCAGATGGCAGCAACGGCCACACCCCAGATGGCCCATCCAAGCTAAAAAGCGGTTACTACGTGTTCACTTCTCCCTGGAATGGCACATGTACTTTTACGAACAGTGTGAACGGCCGAAGCCTCAAATGCAAACACATGATTCCGACGCCCGGCGGCTTCATTCCCCCAACGGGGAAGCAGAAGCACCCCCCGCCGTAACTGTGGCCGAGCTCCGTTTCAACACTCCCTTCCAAGCAGCAAATCTCCACTCGCACGCCCACCATGCAACCCACAAACCCCACCCAAACCACCTGTCCCCGTTCACACAAAGCCAAATCCAAACCCAGTCCGTCCCCCGCCTGAACGACAACCCCAACGACAACAACAGCTCCGATGGAGGACCGCTCCAACCATCCTCCTCCAACAACAGCTACACATCCGCAAAGCGCAACTCCCTCTCCCAACTCTTGAACCCAAACACCTATTCCCGGCCGCGGGCACACACAGGCCCAGGCTCAAACCCGCCACCTCTCCCCGCCTCAACCCCCACAGCCTCGCGCGTAAATCTCAACCCCTCCCCTCTCCTCCGCAGAACCTCCATGCGCGCGCAACGGTTCGCGCGCCAGAGCCAATTCCACTCCTCTTCTCATCACCGCAGTACGAGTAACAGTAGCGGTGGGGATTTGGATCATGATTCCGACGAGGATCGCTTGGATTTCTCGCTTGCTAGGGAGCCTGCTGGTGGTGGGTTAAGGGGGAAGAGTGCGAAACTGGGGAAATTGGTTATTGAAGATGAAGGGATTAAAATGCTTGATCTAGTTGTTGCGGCTTGTATGGCTGTTTGGTGGAGAGGGTATTATTATTGACATATATTGACTTGGCCTTTGTCTTGGTATTACAAATTCTGGCTTGGTTTGTGAGGCTTGTTTACTCTATACTCAGTTAGTTTTGCGATGACATCGTATATATATGAATGCATGAATTTCATTTCTTCTAATTCGTTCGTGCCATTACTTCTGTATATTGCCCCAGCACTGGCAGAGCTATCTGTCCAAGATACAGAATAACCTCCTGTATGTAGTTCGGCCGTGGAAAGTATTAGTACGACAAGGCTGAACTTCTCTGCGGTTTTGCTCTTTGATAGCCGATTACGATCTTCACAGATAGTTAATAGTGAACGATATAATCCAAGTTATCTTTTGTATGGCAACTCTATAGTTACAAAAGGTACCTAAATACAATATCAATACAATATCAATTTTCTCAACTATTGCTATGGTCAGGGGAGATAAAATAGTATTTATATATTTTAATTGAAATTCTAATCTTATATTATCGATCTTAGTAGGAAATCCTAAGTATGTAAAACAAAAAGTTAAAACGTTTTCATCCGATATTTTATATTTTTAGCCCTAATATTATATGGCTTTTTCTTAAAAAAAAGCTACACCTCTATATCATATACTCAGAATAATTTTTGCAGTAGATTAACTAAAATAGACTCACACTATAACTTACCGTTTTTATTTCTCCTCTATCTAGTTTTAGGGTTGAATTGCGCTCATATGGTATCGAGGTATCTTTTGTATGGCAGCCCTATACAAAAGATACTCAATTCTTGAAATTATAATCTTGTAAGGGATATAAGCCCACCTGCGAACTGTAAAAGAAGGTGATATATCTATAAATTCCATTGGAATAATAGTGATCACGAAACAATAGTTATTGTACGTTATATCCGCAGATCCAAAAATAAAAAAAGTGGATTCGCCGACAACGTCACTCGAAACCCGACCGTTGGAAATTTGCACGTGATCTCCACTCCCGAAAAGCGTAAGACCAATCACATCACATTAAAAAAGACCCACATCTGTATAGCCTCAAATCGAATCTGTAAAGAAAAAAAAAATAGGTAGCTTCTCTTTGATTGAGACATGTCATCCTTAGTGCAGGGGCCATGCTAATCTTCTCTGTATATTTTCATTTGACCATATGCCCCGAAGGGCGATAGGACATCCTTAAAGTTCATTATAACCTCACTTTGGGGCAGAAAGTTGCCGCCTAAGGACCTTCCTATTTGGGTAGGTGCTGTCAGGTGGCAGGCACGTGGCCTGGCACGTGGCTGGGATCCTTTGTCTTCAACTCCCCGGTATATCTGGTTCGTACCTAGGTAGCAATGGAGGGTAGTTCAATTATGATGGCGGGTTGGAAATAGAGGGGTTATTGGCTAGCAAGCGTCTCATATAGTGATAGTGATGTGATGTACAGTCAAATACTTTATAGGTATCGAGAGTGGTAGGTACAAAGGCTAATGGATTCGAGTTATGGCGGGTTCGAATGAACCCTTATTGATATTGGCCTAATGAGGGGGAGACTTGATTGACAATCTATGTATCTAGTGATGAACCTACTTGAAAGAGATACAATGCACAGAATAATGAAGTATCATATCCAACCAAGAACCACAGCCAAGAGCACCCTGAACTGTGGAAGCAGTGGAAGGACGCAGAAGGTCACTCCAAAAGGAAATAGGAAACGCAGACACAATCCGGCCAGGGCAGACCGCAGAACAAATAGAGATGAGAAATTCGAGCTCGAGATAGCGCAGTTAATGAAAAATGAAAAGAAAACCCCATGTAAATCGTCCCAGTCTTTTTTTTTTTTCTCTGAAGGTATCTCTTGGCTAAATTAGATCGACATGCAGGGCGCGATAGAAGACATCGGATTCAACACGCCGAAACAACCAACAAGTCGAGAAAAAGAGGCAGAAAGAAAACAAAAGGTATCAACGCTGATGCACGTCCATGCCGCGCTGCAGCGAGGATTCCAAATCATTAGGGTTGTAACCACCGCCAGCGGTAGCCTCCTGAGGTCGAGGATCCTCGGTCTTCCAAGGACCCTGTTGGTTATCCGGAATGGGGATATTAGTTTGCTGAGCGATCTGCTGCTGCTGGGCGGCGTGAGCCTGCGATTGCTGGCGGACGGTGGCGCGGAAGCGGATGACCTCGTCAAGGATCATCTTGCGCATGTCGGGGACTTCGTCGACGACCTCGAAGTGGAAGTCGAAGGTCGTGGGGCAGTTTGGCTCGTCAGAGGCGTCGTGCCAGATGTGCAGGTAGGGGTGCTCGAGAGCCTCCTCAACAGAGATACGAGAGGACGGATCGAATGCCAACATGCGGTCCAACAGGTCCAACGCATCGGGGTTGGCTTGAGGGAACAGCTGCTTGAAGGCGACCTTAGGCATGAAGGGCAGGTTACGCACGTATTCCTGGGCACGAGGGGAACCAATGCGCGCCAGGGTTTCTTCGTTCGGTGTGCCCAGGTAGTGCAGGATCTGGTTCAGCTGGTCGACGTAGTCGCGACCCTTGAAGAAGGGTCGACCGCCGAGGAGCTCGGCAAGGATGCAGCCCACGGACCAGACATCAACTGTAGACGGGGGGTTAGCGGGGACTCTGCTTGGGTGGCAAATTAAGGTGTGGCGTTACGTACTTGCTTTGGTATAGCTTTGGAAGCTCAACATGATCTCCGGCGCACGGTACCATCTGGTTGCGACGTACTCAGTCATGTACCCTGCGTTCTCCTCCGGGTCAATAGAGAAACCACGAGCCAGGCCAAAGTCACAAATCTTGAGCTCGCAGTCGGCATTGACCAGCAGGTTACCGGGTTTGAGATCACGGTGCAGGACGTTGGCCGAGTGGATGTACTTGAGACCACAGAGGATCTGGTAGATGAAGGATTGGAAGTGGGCATCAGTCAACGGCTGGCCGGAGCGGATGATAGCAGCCAGATCACATTCCATCAACTCTGCAAGATTATTAGTCCAGCTCTATTCGATTGAAAAGCAGCAGAGCAGCACCTACCCTCATAGAGATATGTTTCGTTAAAGTTGTCCGGTCGGGGAATATCCATATCGTACAGGCATGTGATCTGGAGAGCTGAGTTAGCGGGTATAAGGTATTGATAAGGATGAGCTGCGGCCTACATTGCGATGGCCACGGAAATGCTGAAGCAGCTTGATCTCTCGCAAAGCCCGCTTGGCTAGGATCTTCTTGCTGAAGACATTGGTGACCTTCTTGACGGCAACTCCCTCGCCGGTTTGCACGTTGGTTGCGGCGCTTAGGACTATCAGCACATGTGTATCTTCGGTGTCCTCCAGCGTCCACGTTTGCTGTCTGGAATACCTACCACACGATGCCGTAGGCTCCCTGACCAAGTTCCTTCGTCACATTGTATTGCTCGCTCACGATAAAGTCCTGGTTGAAAACCTTGAAGACCTTGCGACCTTGTAAATCAGTCATGGCGAGTTGTCGTCGCGTAGAGCCGTAGAATGTTGGAGGGAAGGCAAAGCAATGGAGGAAAATTGGAATTAACGAGGGCCCAGGGTCTTAAAAAGCAAAAAGAGAGAAGTTGAAGGGGAAAAAAAAGGGTGATGAGTTGAGAGAAGTGTGATGGGATTCAGCCCCGCAGTCCCCGCGGGTGATCCACGTAAAAAAAGGTGTTTAGTCCACTCTTGGGCTGTTTTGATTGTTTTGGTGGTTTTGAATGAAATTGCATCAAAGAACATTTTCTAAATTTAAAAGAAAATTATCGACTAGAAAACTTGAAATTCGAGTACCCAATGATTGATTTTGGTTGGTGAAAGGGTGAAATAGAGGGGATTTCTTTGTATACTATCTGCATGCACTGTACACTATATATGTACATATAACTAACCTAGCTATGTAACTATCAAAGTAGGTACCTACATATGTACCTAGTATTCAAATATCTGCATATAATATACAGACTCGAAATAAAACCACACAAAGAATAAAGAGCATGGCTGAAACCTGTCTTTTGAGTGTTTCAGTGAAGTGGGCCGCTGTCAAAGATGTATTTTGGTATTGCAGCCTGTCATATGTCATATTGCTAGTAAGAAAAAAAAAAGAAAAAGAAAAAAGAAAAAAAACATAAATGAGGTGAGCATGCATGAGACACTCTAGCCTCGTAGGCTGAGTTGCAACTGAGAACTGGAAACTACAACATAGACTCGAAATTCATTTCATGTCATTGAATGCCTCGAGGATGTAGGAGCTTGGCAGATGAGGTCGATTCTGCCACTAAAGCCCGCCCTGTGAGACAGCCCTACATTATGTATGTTGTGTGTGCAAGATGTTCCAAGATATCTAGTTGAAAACTTTTCTAATAGGAGATCACTAAGGCTAAACTTTAAATAAGCACTCACGCCTTGAAAGTCAAGAGGATGAGCGTTCTGTGGCTTAACTTAGACCCTAATTACACTACTTACTACATTAGGAACGTATGGTATACATTTAATAAAATCAGTAGAATATCCACATCTAATTCATTTCACTTTTCGTAAATCGGTAACGAATTCATCCCCTACAGAGTGCTCTCCAGCCGACGCTCCTTGCGCAATGCCCGGAGCTTGAGTCGCGCCTCCTCCAGAGGGACCATGACACCCTTGTTTTGGGTGGCAGGATCATCACGGTTGCGAATGTTGACAGTGCGTGACTCCTTCTCCTGGGCACCGACAACAAAGATGAAGTTGTACTGGGCCAGCTGGCCAGTACGGATCTTCTTCTGCAGGGTGTTGCCACTGACGTCAACGTCCACATTCAACTTGTCACCCTGCAGGATACGTTGCAGCTCCTCGGCGTAATCGTTCAGAGCCGGCATCACCGGCACAATTAGGATCTGGCGTGGACTGATCCAGAACGGCCACTTGCCACCAAAGTGCTCGATCAAGATACCCAGGAATCGTTCGAAGCTACCAATAATAGCACGGTGAATGACAACAGGGCGGGCACGGCCGGGGGGGCAGATCGTTGGACTTGGTCTCGCCTTCCTTCGCGCCCTCGCCGGAGTTCTTCTCCAGATTTTCGTTGGTCTGATACTCCAGCTTGAAGTTCAGCGGAGCCTGGTAGTCCAGCTGGATGGTCGCGCATTGGAATTCACGCTTGAGAGCATCCTCAATTGTGATGTCGATCTTGGGTCCGTAGAAGGCACCGTCACCCTCATTAATAATCCAATCATTACCCTTAAACTTGGTCAAAGCCTTCTTAAGCTGGTCCTCGGCCTGGTCCCAGGTCTCCAACGATCCCATATACTTCTCGGGGCGGGTGGACAGCTTCAACTTGAAGGTGAAGCCAAACAGCCCATATATGGAATGCAAGAAATCGAACAGACCCTCGACTTCAGGCATAATTTGCCCGTGGCTGCAAATAATGTGACCATCGTCCTGTTGGAACCTTCTTACTCTCGTCAAGCCTTGAAGTGCTCCGGAAGCCTCATTGCGGTGCAGGACACCGAAGTCTGCAATACGCATAGGAAGCTCGCGGTAGCTACGTTCACGGTGGGCGAACAGAGCGAAGTGTCCAGGGCAGTTCATAGGCTTAAGAGCCCACTCGCGCTTCTCGACATCCAACTTGAACATATCATCCTTGTAGTGGGCCCAGTGTCCGGAGGTCTTCCAGATGCTAACATCGTACATGTTGGGGGTCTGGACCTCCTGGTAGCCTCGCTTGCGGTATTCAGCACGCAGAAGAGACTGGATCTGGTTCAAGATCTTGGTTCCGTTGGGGAGGAGGAATGGACAGCCAGGGGACACCTCATCAAAGAAGAACAACTCTTGCTCCTTGCCGATTCTCAGGTGGTTCCGCTTCTCGGCTTCCTCCAAAAACTTCAAGTGCTCAGCCATTAGCTTCTTGTCGGGGAAGGCAACACCACGAATACGCTGCATAGAATCGTTGGTCTGGTCACCAAGGAAGTAGGCAGATGAGTTCTAGGGGTAAAAATTAGCATGCATCTTCCTCGGTCAATAACTCGACCAGCCACACTTACCTGCATGATCTTGAAGGTCTTGATTTTGCCGGTGTTCTGAATGTGAGGGCCTCGGCAGAGATCGACAAGGGTACCGCAACGGTAAACGGTGCTACTTTCACCAGTGACAAGCTTGTCAATATAGTGCAACTTGTATTTGCTGTATGCGAACATCTTCTTGAGGTTCTCCTTGGAAACATCCAATCGGTCGAAGCTTTGCTTCTCCTTGAAGATACGTGCAGCCTTGGTGTCAAGTGCCTTCCAGTCAGCCTCCTTGACAACCTGTCTGTTTTTTCACATATATTAGCATTAACGCCATTGTGAATAGTAGGCGATAAGAATAACATACCCGTCGGGCATGGCCATATCGTAGAAGAAACCCTGAGGAGTTGGCGGCCCGTGGCTCAGCAAGGCCTTGTAATGGCACTCGCAGGCCTCGCCTAGAGTGTGAGCACTGGAGTGCCAGAATACCTCACGGGCCTCAGGGTTGCTGAAAGGCACAAGAAGCACATTACAATCCTTCTCCAGGGGCCGGTTCAAATCCCACAACTCTCCGTCAACCTTGGAGATAACAATATCGGCACTTATTTCCTTGGGCACATCACGCAGGAAAGATCCAGGGGTGGTCTCGAAGGCTTTGGCGGGGACCGAGGAGGGGGTGTTGCCGTCACCAATGTCAAGGGTAACATTGATCTCTGGGTGGGGACGGGTCTTGGTCTCCTCGAGATGTTGCTGCCAGAGTTCCTCGAAGAGCTTGTTTCGCTCAATCATGAACTCTGGGAGGGTATCGGGGCTCGGGGCCTGCTTGGATTTCGCTTTCGCATCTTTTGGAGGGGCAGAAGGAGCTTCAGATGCGTTGTTAGCCTGCGCTTCAGCTGCAGGCCGCACAGGCAGATCCTTGGGAGTTTCAGACGCCATTTCGACAACCCTTGGATCAGCGACACAAGGGAATTGGACTGTGAGCAAAAAAACTCTGATTGTGGTATACTCCGCGTGGAGGGGAAAATGACTCTTCGTGAGGGCGGTGAAATGAAGATCACGTGTTGGTACTGCCCTTAGCCGACACTTTACCGCTTCAAGTTTCCACCAAGCGAAAACTTCTCCAGCTTTGTCAAGTCAATCACCCTTATCACCACAAAATGTCTTTCCGTGGTCGTGGTAACGCTTCTGGTGCCAACCGGGGAGGTTTCGGTGGTGGCCGTGGTGGTGAGAATTTTCCAACGTGAATGCGATGTGAGAAGTTAAAAGGAGCTAACGAAATTTTTTTTTATCGCAGGTCGCGGAGGCTTCCAGCAGTCATTCGGCCCCCCAGCCCAGGTTCTGGGTAATTATTCTTCTGGAACTGACTATAATTGATTCATGTCGCTGATATTCCGATAGAGTTGGGTTCCGTGATGCACTCTTGCGAGGGTGAGATGGTCTGTGAATCGGTCAACCCCAAGATTCCTTACTTCAACGCTCCTATCTACTTGGAGAACAAGGTACGCCAATACTCCACCAAGCCAACACAATATAGAAGTCCATGACCTAACTGGTTTTATAGACTCAAATCGGCAAGGTCGACGAAATTCTCGGTCCCATCAACCAGGTCTACTTCACCGTCAAGCCCCAAGATGGTATTGTCGCCACTTCCTTCAAGGCTGGCGACAAGGTCTACATCGGTGGAGATAAGCTGCTCCCTCTCGAGAAGTATGATTCTCTGCTCTACTCATTCTTCTACGCTGTAACTAACTCACCTCTTAGGTTCCTCCCCAAGCCCAAGCCTCCCCCAGGAGCTGCTAAGCCCAAGCGCGCTGGTGGTGGTGCTCCTCGTGGCCGTGGTGGATTCGGTGCTCCCCGTGGTCGCGGTGGATTCGGTGCCCGTGGCGGTGCTCCCCGTGGCCGTGGTGGCTTCGGCGGTGGTCGTGGTGGTGGTGGTTTCGGTGGTGGTCGCGGTGGTGGTTTCGGCGGTAGCGGTGGCTTCTCTCGTGGAGGTGGTCGCGGTGCCCCTCGTGGTGGTGGTGGCTTCCGCGGTCGCGGCTATTGATCGATCCAATGTACTGTCTCTTTATGGCGTTTTGGGGGATCTGGGAGCTTTTTCAGGAATATCTTTCCGTCTTCTTGTGCATCCTGCGCAATTGCAACTTCACTGGCTGCAGGCTGTAGAATATCACCAGTCAAAAATGTTTCTGTTATTTTCATTAGATTTTCCAGGACTTGCAATTGCATATTAAACCATAAGTGACTCGTTAAGAAATTCGGGGATACTCGGCTCGGACATTCGGTTGGGATGTGGCTAGTGAATGTGGCGCAGCTGCACCGCCTCTGCCTGCCTGCAGTTGAAATGACGTTGACCGCTCAGCGAATCTGTGCGTCCGTCAACACTTCCAAGCAGGATTGACAGCATTTTTATTCTTCTTACCCAATCTTGCCTTTTATACATCTTATCGAGACAGAGTATCCTTTTCCCATAAATCTTCTTCGAATTTGATACCCATTTGAGCATGTCTCGTCGGACATCGGTCATGGCATCGAGCAATTCCTCCAGCAGTGTCCCACCTTCAGGTGATGGAGGTGCGTTTTAGCTCTCTCTGGGTGTTCATTGGCAATATAGCTGACATTTTCCAGGCCAGGAGAAGCAAAAAATGCTGCTTTCCTCGGATCATGGTCATTTTAGCATGGTGAAGTCAGTCTCGTGCTTCCCGCGCTCCTTTGCTCTCGGTTCAGCCTAACACTCAATAGGGCCATGCATCTTGCTGATCTGATTACTGAAATGAATGGTAAGAGATCGCAACACCGTCAGGGTTTGTTTGAATTGACCCGCTAACTCTTTATCTTAGGTTTCTGTGGAGGCAAGCTCATATTTCCCAACCGTTCTCCCAATCCGCGACTAATATGTTGAGCAGTCATGTCGGTCTTTTCCTCCATGCGCTACTGCCTCGGAGACCCAACTGAATACGGTGCCATCTGGGCCGCACTCGCATTCATGCCTTTCGGTCTGTTCTTCGACTTTATGGATGGCAAAGTCGCAAGGTGGCGCAAGAAGTCGTCTCTCATGGGACAGGAGCTCGACTCGTTAGCGGACTTGGTAAATGATCCCGGCAAGTAATCACAACCGAACTGTTGCTAACACTCTTATTCCAACTAGATATCCTTCGGCCTTGCTCCCGCCGCTGCCGCATTCGCTCTTGGTATCCGAACCTCGCTTGATCACGTTTTCCTCACATTCTTCGTTCTCTGTGGTCTGACCCGCCTCGCTCGGTTCAACGTGACTGTAGCCGTGCTGCCCAAGGATCAGACTGGAAAATCCAAGTACTTCGAAGGCACACCTATTCCGACCACTCTGTCAATCGTTTCCCTTATGGCCTACTGGGTCTCTCAAAGCTGGACACACGAGAACATCCCTCTTGGACTTGTTGCAGAAGGTACCGTCTTTGAATTCCACCCCGTGGTCCTGATGTTCGTTCTGCATGGATGTATGATGGTCAGCAAGACGATACACATTCCTAAACCATGAGCTCAACCCAATCTGGCCGCGCATTTACTCTTGGAAAAAAAATGCCTGTGTCTGTTGTCTCTCTCAACTTTGGACAACTGAAAATAAATATCGAGGGGGCCTTCGTTTGTAGGAAAGGCATAGCATGATCTCGATGCACTTAAATAAGGATGCTTAATTGAATTTCAATTGCATAGATTGACTATAGTCATTGTGGCTTCTGTGTAGGGATTGGATTAACTGTGGCCGCACGGTCGACATGTTGAGGAAGTACCTGTGTAGGGCAAGCCGCTTGTCCTCGATCTTGGATATACAAGCAAGTGAGCCATGGATACACTATCAACTTTAACAACGCGCAGATGCACATGTAATGCTGACCACTTCGGCCTTGTCGTGCCTTTTTAAATGAGCTGGAATCTTTAGGGATGCGAGGTGGTTAAAGAAAAACATAAACTATGCAGAGGAATTTTGTTATATATATAACTAAGTATGATGGCTCCCAAGACCCCACAACCCAAGTAGGCCGCCATGCTACAGATGCTATCCATGTGATCGACTCATCTACTTCGACGACCAGCGCGGTATCAGCTGCACTAACACATGGTGCGGCTGTGGTCAGTACTCTCAAAGGGAGAGGGCAGGTATCGGGAGGTCCCACATGGAGGATGTTCCTCTATGAGCTGATGATGGAAAATTGCCGTCAATTTCTAGTTCCTGGGCCCTTAGTACATAGGGCATTAAACCCATCGATTCGCAAATGCTATATATTCATCGTCACCATTCATGGATGTTCGTAAGTTGAACCACGGAAATTCTTTTGATAATATAGACATACACGCAATATTGACCTATAGAGATCGTCATAATGACCACTTGGCTAGGTATCTCTCACAGCGTCTAGGACTACGACCGAGGACTTTGATACGACAACAATCGTTGAACCTAGATAATATAGTTAACACAAAGGCAAGTTTACATAGAAAGCCCTATCACCAGCTCACAAGATCATATCTAAGCCACCCACTACGGCAGACCGAGCATATCACGACTACAGCGATGACGATCACCAGACTCCAGACCCCAAGATGCCCTAGATGCTACGAAGATGGCATGAGACTGAAAGTCAAAGAAGAGAACGCGAATGGCAATGCAGGCCGGCCATATTACAAATGCTACCCGTGTGATCGGTTCATCTGCTTTGCTGATCAACGCGGGATAAGTCCGGCCAATCCGCTCTGCCAATGCGGCGAGTACACCCGTAGGCAGATATCGGGGACTTCGAAGGAGGTGCAACATGGGATCCATTATGTTTGTGCTCGTGGATGGTGTTGGTTCTATGAGAAGGAAGTGGATCATGGTGGTGTCCAGCGACGGGTTCCAGATAGGTCGGTGGGAATATGTGCCAGTTACTCGTATATCTGAGGTCTGAGCCTCAGCTTGGGTTTGATAGTATTTATTATTTTATGAGGTTTGTTTTTTTCAATCTGGTTCGTGTTAAGCTTGAGTAATAATAAGCTTCTTCTTCTTCTTCTTTTTTCGCCTTCAGTGTGTATGTATATGTAACATTTACTCCGTAATGGCTCCCATTATAGGTTCATATCCCTAAGCGAAATCATATTCTCTTCCGGGGTAATCATCCAGCCGGGCCTTCCGCAATCTAGAATATGGCAGATAGAAGAAAGGTCATAGACCAAATCCGAATTTTTAGAATTTTAAAATTAGAATGATCTTGGCCAGACGCGCAGGGTCTAGACCTAGACGCAAGTTTCACTTTGATATCCGAACTCAAAGACTCTTTACCCACAGTTTAAAGAAATTGAACTGGTGTTCTCATCGCAACATCCAGATAATTACGATCCAGGCAAATTAAACAGAGCCTTATAGCCTTCGATTCTGATTCTTGTTGTGTACTCCGTACCGAAGGGGATGCGTTCAATGTTTCTACATGACTCCTTTGGCAGGTGGAGAATCCAGCTGGTCTAGTGGACGCCACTGGTCCCGGAAGATCTGTGTTCAGAAGGAAATACCGGCTGGCCAGGTCTAGACATGTGTGCTCGATGAGGCATTACTGTGTGTACGAGTACAGTACGGACTCCGGAGTACAGGCCCTGTATTGCATGTGCAGATTGTGTTTTCGGAGGCTCTGGGTTAGTAATACTCGGCCTGATCAAATGGCGAGCAATATGTCTCACTGTTCGAAGATCGCTCTCCTTTGGGGGTTATTGTTTGCTCTATGGGCTCTATGGTCATGGGCGTCTTTACATCATAGGAGAGAATTAGGTCGATGACATTGAATGCTATCTCGTGGTAAGATGCCCACCTGCGCAGACAGTTGTATTGACCGTTTGAAAGGAGGTTTATAATTAAATGGCCCGGTTACAATAGCAATAGAATCTACTCCGTACATATGTATGGACCCGGTTGCAAGGGACTAGATCTGCAAGGTACAACGAATACAGCATACACATTGGCCATCCGAAGCGCATTTCGCCGCATAATAATTACTAGTAACTTGATCTCTTTATTCAAAAGGGTCTATAACTAGATGTCTCAAAGGTTAGTAATCTCGCATATAGTAACGTGGCTAGAGTAAATAGCCTCCGAGATCTTCAGGGATATTACAACATATACCTAGGTATGTAACTAGGAGAATACAGATTTTGAGCCACAATGCCCTATTTTACAGCGCACAAATTTCGTTACGGGACATACCAACCGTTTTTTTTTTTGTGGCTGAAGCAGGGCATTGTTGTGTTACAGAACGGTACGGTGTATCAATGTAGAGAAACCTTGGAAGAACAGAGCAGCCCTGGAGAGTAATTTGGTACGGTCCACTCGGGAGTGGCCGCTCATTACCCATGGAAATAATTTAGATCGCACATGGAAAAGGGGTATGAACAGGGATGAAGAAGAGATATCTACGGAGTAGTGAGGGTGAGTAACTATAAGGTGCGATTACTCGAAGTACACGAAATGCTGGATGTTGATCCTTGAGGTTTCATGTTGTACGGAGTACTCCGTTCAAGATTCTTAGCGCTTGTATGGAGTATTGAAATTGGCTCCGCCTTTGGGAAATGAGCCCGTTCCATAATGGAATGGTAATTTTCTTGTTTGGTTTCAACGGCAAAAAATTTGGCTGCAATTTATTCAAATGGAGATCTGAATTTCCCCTCGACAATCAGCCAAGGATGCACTTTGTCAGCCACAAATGACCGTGGCGTATGTTGACCGGTCATTTATACGAAGTACTCCGTACACAGCAGATCAATGGAAGCAGATTTTGAGATGGAACAAAGCGTTAGCCAAAGAGTAAGTGATGTTGTGCGTTGTACAATTTTTTGAGGGGTAAAACAAAAAGAACCTTGGAAGTCGTCATCAAGGGTCCTTTTTCATGTGGCAAAGACGATCTTTCATAAGTTCATGTAAAGTACAGAGTACAGAGTAATTACCTCCATAATATTGGATATTTGAAATATTCGATGAGATTCACACAGAGAGAGTCTCAGTATCATCACTTGGCCCTTCCAGAAGTAGACTAGCGGCATGCCCAAAGACTCCATTTAGCTGCCGTGTTTGACCAAAATAGGAAATTGATTCACCTCGGTCCCCTGGTTTAGTCGGGCGGGTGCCTGATTACCTAAATGTATTTCGACGTATCATTGGAGGATTCAATGTTGTTTGTTTGTATACCTGGTATTATACCATACAAGGAGCAAACAACATTAAAACCACCCGTGAAAGACCTGCACTGAAAGTACCCGGTACTCAACTGTACCAGGGCCCTGCCCCCATAGTCCAAGTACCTCATACCTTCTCCGGGGAACACAGACCCCCCTTGACAGACCCTTTCTCAAGGGATCCATTATCCGTCACTTCTCTTCCCTCCTGATCTTTCCATCTCCCCTTTGCACACATTCGTTACCGACAACCCAATTTCTTCGCTCGTTACTCCCTTTACTTGGAGTTTATCAACTGAACTGCTTCTTAGTTCACGGTCGCTCACTCTCTCTCTCCCGAATTGTAGGGGGGTGAACCTCTACTCGATCACCTACTCCGAGTACCCGTCAACAGAACGCGAAATCACCTTCCCTTTCACTATTTCTTTTTCCCGACCGCGAAAAACTTCGACTTCGACCTCGACCTCGACTTCGACTTCGACTTCGTCGTTAGATACACAGTCTGGGTATCTGACTGAATAATTCAGATCCAACTTGGTGGCCAGTTTGAGAACAAACGACGTCTACCGACATACATTCAAACAGAAGTTCTTGAGGGTTACGCAGGCCGTCCCCAGTCCTTCGTCAATCACCCCTGTGACTGTGTCCAGCGGTGTTTACTTTTCACGCTGATTTCGATACTCAACTTTCCTCTTCTCCCAATACATCATGCTTTTCAACACCCAAGGCGCCCTCGTGGTGTCTAGTCTGCTACTGGCAGCCACCCCTGCAGTTGCAAAAGACTTCAAGGTGCTTCCCCGTGGGTCACCATTAGGCACACTCAAGGGCTGCTACTCGAGCGTTCCTGGATACGGAAAGTCAACGAGCTGGACATACCAGAGTTCCGGATGGTGTCTGGACCACTGTGCCAAGGACTACGCGACATTTGCTTTGACAGGAGGCTCTGACTGTGTGTGCGGTAATACGATGCCACCAGACAGTGCCAAGGTTTCAAGCGATAAATGCAGCACGTCGTGCAGTGGTTGGCCCGATGATATGTGTATGTCTATATCGTCTACCCATAAGTCTCAGAGAATTGACTTGCTAACGATAATTCCGAATAGGCGGTGGTTCCAGCTACTACTCTGTCTACACCACAAATTTGGAAGACGATGTGCCCACGTACTCTGACTCCTCTGACTCTAAATCCACAACCACAACCAAAAGCAGTAGCGATAGCAAAACTACGACGGAAGCTGACGGAACCACCTCAACTACCTCCACCACTGCCGGTGAAACAACAGAGACCGCGACATCTGAGCCCACCGAAAGCAGTGTCTTTGACAATATGGATGAAAAGTCCACGCAGAGCAAGAACACTGCCGCAATTGCGGCCGGAGTCGTCGTCGGAGTGGTAGGATTTGCTGCTCTCTGCGGTGCTATATTCTTCTGGTGGCGATCCAAGCAGAACAAGACTAATGCTGCGGCCGGTGGCACTGGCGGCTATAGCCGTGACTCTGGCCCGCCCTCGATGTCCGATTCTCGGTTCGATGGCTCCTACATGGCTCACCGCCGCCAAAGCAATGGCAGCATCGATGATGACCATGACTTCTCTCGCCGGATCTTGCAGGTAAGCACGCATAGCACCTGATAACACGCTTTCCAAGCTGACTTATGATACAGGTGACGAATCCCGATCGCTAAACCAATACCCATTTATCGGAACCATTCATCCTCCCTCTTATTTCTTATCTCCACTCGGTATTAGCGAAACCCACGTCATTTCTACCTCGATCAAACTACTTTATGAGAGCTTCCCTATCTTGTCATTATTTTTCAGTCGGGTTATTCAGCGGAGTTATGATATCCGAACGGCATACGGCTTGATCCGAGTCGGCGTCCCCAGCTGGTGACCCGATGTCTCTTCGGCCCTGCCTCTGAGCTGCCTCTTTTTTTAACCAATACCCTCCATGTCTACATCTCAGACAACGCTACCCTGTTTCTCGATCAGCACTTCTTGGGTCTACATTGGGAAATAAACCGCACCACCGGCCTTCTCTGCCGAAGACCCGATCATTGTATCTTGTTCAATTATAGTGAAGTCTCGGTGGATATAGAGAGACCTTGTGTTCGAAAAGGCGTTTCTTCCTATTTCGGCTCTATCAATGCTCGGCATTTTCCTTTTTATGAGCAAATCATTCGTTTTATGTGATTCCTTTTTTTTTTACTTTTACCCCCCTCGCGGTCTATTTTCTTGTTTCCGGTCAAGTCTTTGCCTATCGGTCCCATAATGAGCTTCTCGCGTTCGGCAATTCGCTCCGGTTCGGGCTGATTCAGGGATGGGTGGCTGTAAATAGGCGAGATCAATCAGCTGTACTTAATGTGAGAATGGATATGCACATCAGTCCGTGGTCATTTACTTAAAGTAACAGTGGTTTCGTTGGTCAAAGCTGGGTCTGCTAGCAGTTCGTATGTATATATATCTTGGATATCTGTTATGCAGTCCACCTTGGAATTAATCATGCTCATGACTTTTGCTTTTGCACTTGGGCTTTCATACAAATGAACAATACCCGAGAAGCTATTACAAAGAACAAGAAACGGAGTCAAAAACTCCAAGCAAGTGGACTTGGTATGATAGTTCGAATTCAAACAACGTCCCCCAAAATCCATGCCTCCATAAGATAGAGAAACCTTCCGAAACGATATGGGAAGCATAAATGGAGGCAATGGGTTCTAATGAGATACTAGGGGAAGAGAATAGGCAATATGACTGTATTGTAGCTAACTGCTAACTGCTTACTGCTAAGAAGAAGAAGAAGAAGAGGAGGAAGAGGAAGAGGGAGAGGCAGCTATTTGTAGCTGCCAGTCCTGACAAACAGGATCAGGTGATCTCAACAAGTTCACAAAGTTCACTTGAACGGAAAGAAAAGAACGTAGAAGAGAACGAGGCGACAGCCATACCTATCCTTACAACCCAGGGATGGCCAAGGGGAATGTCGCTAACATAGTGGTATGCCAGGTGACGGTGGCGGTGTTGGTATCACTGGGATCATATTCATCCCGAATCAACTCCTCGGTTGTTTGCCAGAAAGAGAGAATGGAGAGATACCAAGACGGACCAATGTAAGACGAAGGCGTTGACAAGAACAATGCCCGAATTGGGTACACTTCGGGTACGGAGTATCATCACTACGAGGATCAAGCGGAGGCGGAACTTGGAACTTGCAAGACACGACGCTCAGAAGCATAATGTTGAGTGTAGGAAGCTTTACCCTTACCTGCCTAAACCTCTCGAATGATAGTGAATCGTGTACGAAGAGAGCAAAGATGAGGTAGACTCACGGCACATCCATCATGCTTGCCGACTAAGGTGTGAGCCTTGCTATGGGCTTTGATCGGAGAATCTAGAGCGAAGTAGAGATCTTACACAGCCGCCGCAACGATCTAAATATTCTCCATATCATGAGGCAGCCCGGCATCGTCGTTTTGTCTGTTTTCGGATCGCTTGTTGATCCAAAACTACACATCCAATCCAGCAATGCTTGCAGTTCAAAGATCGTGGCACCGGATATCTTGATATAGCTGGAAAATGGCTGGCATTGTCGTGGACATGGTCACGTCGTTGACAACACGGAAGTGACGCCGTCGCGAATGCAGTTCACCTTGAAGGATTGAACCCACTCAGCCCCGTCCCGGTCATGCAGTGATATTCTGGTGTAGTGAATGCACCAGTCTGTCTCTGCAGGTTCTGCAGTCTCTGCTGGAACAGCGTTTACCGCTGCAACTTTTTCCAGAGACATGATGAGATTGAGAAGAAAGGGTTCTGATGGACGTACACAGGAAGGGAGCAAGAAGAATATCCAAGATAGATGAAGGTGGTGAATCTACCCTTTTTATGCTTCATGGGGACAAAGAGAGGTCTGACAATCTGGAGGCAAGCAACGAGGTGTTGCGCGGATGCCTGAGTGCATCAGGTTCAAACAATAGGAAAGTGATATCAAACACAATGTGGAAGGCGTGGGAAGAAGAGAGAACAGGAAGATGCAAGAACAAAATCCCCCGTCTCAACGAGATAAGCAAACATTGGAACAAACCAGATGAGTCCAAGACGATGTTCGTCCCATGTTTCGACAGAACTCTTCTTCCTTTCTATGCAAATATGAGGTTAGGTCCCCTTCAAAGAGATTCGAGCATGCTCGACTTGCAAAGCCCATGGCTCTTGAACTAGAAACGGTTCAGCATCAAACCACCCGACAAGAGGACAAAGGACAATCTGGAGTCCAACAATTCTTCGCTGATGCCTAGTATCCCATTCCTTCACTTTCCATGAGATCAGGAAAGAGATAAACACAATAAACACAGACCTCACAAAAGGCCACATGGGTCATGACTGCCAGCTGGCTAGCCCCAATCCTAGCTAACAAACTAGTCCATAACTGCATCGCCTCTCCGATATGAGAAACCTGTCGATCTTGACGGCCCAATTAGATCAACGCCAGACCCAACAGCGGCTAGGCGGACTTCGACCGAGATTGAACCGGGATTAACAACCACATGGCTCGAAGCGACGCTAATTTAGCGACGATCCAGACCTGCAGGAGAGAGAAAAGAGATTGAAGGATGCTAGTCTGCTAGTCTGCTAGTCATGTTAGTCTGGTTGGTAGCCTGTGACAGCGGATGAATCAGACTGTGTTGATAAAATAACCCTTGTCTCAAAAGAGGGATGGATGATTTCTGATTTCCCGTCCGGGCTGGTGATTACCCGCTAAGAACATATTGGACACCGAAACTCGACTAAATCAAAGAGAGATTGGTCGGGCTGTTTCGGATCGACTTGACTTGCATTGCCACTACTCTTTGCCAAGTGTTTCTTTACTCGGTGCTCCGTACGGAGTATGTACATGGTCCCATATGTGTTACTCGTAATTCATGTCTAAGGGGAGGTTTATATACGGTAATTCCGGAGTAAATTGCCGACATGTCCGGAAATCATGTGGACTCGAATGCCGATCACTATACGAAGTACAAGAACGGAGTTCGGAGTTCGGAGGATGCAATATGCAATATAAATTTATATTATATTTGCATCTCAAAAAAGGTCTAGAAGGAAACAATAACACACTAGCCATTCCTATTTCCAGTCCCCCCTCCCAATCGGACAATTGTTACACGGCCATCCTCATGCTGCAGAACAATAAGCCAATGGAGATAGCAGGAAAACCAACAGCGTTAACAAGCATAACTAGGCAGATGCAGGCTGGCGCCTAGAACACCTGTTTCGCATGAGGTCATGCTTGTGGGGATCGTCTATCTTGAGCCGTTGGCTAACTATGTATCTAGTCTCAAGCGCCTTCAGGCAGGGCAGTTCTATACCGATTGGTTTGAGGCTGCTACTGCAAAAAGACGGTGTAATGTTCCTTAATTAGCTTCGTGAGAGTACAACATAACTAGATGGTCTATAACTAATGTATGCTACTCAAAGAGTATAGCTAGATTGAGCTTAGCGGATGTTCCTTAAAAAAAAAAAAAAAAACAACCTACCTATCCTGGCTAGATAGTGAAGGACTCCAAACTGGGGACTCCAAAACATCAACACCCGTTAAGTGATCTGCAAAAGGCCCACAGTTTCGGCCATGTGGTCTCGATGGCACGGAACAGAGCGAAGAAATTAGCTCCGTTGCACATCGCAGGTCGGAAGATACGACTCTCCGTACACGTGTATACACCACGAGGCACTTTGTAGGGGAAATGAAAAAAAAAGGGGGTCATCGGAAGAATCGGCGAACCATGATCCGTGTGCAATATCCGTAGATCTAGTTTGCCCCATATTGTGAGATTAGACTGTAAATCTCTGGAGTAAAATAAATGCCTCCTAAAGTTTGTTTTACACCCCTTTTGTTGTGCAGGTCTGCTTCGGATTCCGGTCTTGAATTGGACTTTTTCTATAATCAAAGGATCAGAGAAATCATTCTTAATACATCCCTGCAAAACACAGTGGGTTTAGGATAGCCTATCACTAAGATGCAAATGTATCTACCTGCGTGAGCTCCTCGTAAACTCTAGTATAAGGTCTAGGATATAGAATATTTACTGGGTCGAGAGATCTCCCGAGCCGATCGGGAGAATCTCGCGTAAATGCACTGCTCTGTATGCAGAGAGTGTATGGAGTGTATGGAGTATAATGGTTATAAATGTTATAAATAAGTATAAATACGCATAAATACGCATAAATGGGTATAAAGCAGACTAAAGACACCAAAGTCATCCCAGATCAACACGACCACCTTCCTAACCCATAGATATTAACAGGTTTGTCCGCGGACATGAACACGGTAACGGAGCTGAAAACGAACAAAGTCACTTATCCCCCGGTTTGAGTTAACAGTAAATTTGTACATTGGCTGGAACTGGCTAGTTAGCTCACCTGTATGCATCTGTTGCAGTAGTGCCTGCATAGTTACGTGCCCTAGATTAGCTCTCATTTCCCTTTTAGTGTAATGTACTCTGTCGAAGCCACATGGGCTACAGGGGTAATGATCCATGGTGCATACCAATGCAAGTTTTCTAGAAGAGGAAATGAAGAGGTGGGTTTAAAATTAATGTGAATGTCCTTGTTGGACTCGGCTGTGGACCCGGATACGAGGCACAAAAGTACTATACGTTGCAATTTTCTGGATGAAAATTAAAAGACAACGTTTCTTTTTGTCAAAAAAGAAAAAGAAGCATAGAGCCAAGAGAGGTAGATTAATGAGAAAAAATAGTTTAGTATTGAAATAGCCGACACATAATTTCCCGAGAGATTTAACTTCACTGTTATGTATGGGGATCATGACAAGTACCTAGGTACTCCGTAGTGCCTTCAACGATGACAATAATTCATTACCAGATTGGCATCGGCGCTCAGGCACTCGAAATCTGCCTTGCAAAATGCGGCCACATGGCATGGCCTGATCGACAAGGCTATCTGAAACGTGAGCTGCAGGGGGTTTACGCCATTGGCGGTATCCTTGTCAAATGCGTAAACGTGGGAAAAAGTAAGCTTGGAATATCCGTCCATACACAACTGACGGGAGAAACCCAAAAGAACCTTCCTGTATGTTGTATGAGAAAATCGGGAACCCATTGGATTTTATTCTTCGGTAAACCGTTACTCCACTTTTGCAGAGCCTAGACCTTGACCGGATTGAAGTCGATTGCTACGATCTGAGTCCGTGTGGGGAAGTACCCCAGGAACAGGAATCAGTAGATTTCACGATATACGGAGTACGGAGTAGACTATTAACATATACCCTGGTAAATAGATAAATAGATAGCAGTTCCTCAGGTATGGTAGATCTCGGGACATGAATAAAGGGATTGTCCAAGGAGTACACATGACGAGTCGTCTTTTCATCTATTCGGTTAATCTCGCTTCAATCCCTGCAAGTGTGCTGTATTCGGTATGGTTTGCTTTGATCAATGCAGGACAAATGCCTCACTTAACGATCCCCAGTGACGATGGACCAAAAAGACCTTGACAGATAGCGACGATCTTTTCTATGGGATTTGATCGTAAATGTAGATCACACTTTTCGACTTCTGGATCATGCTGGTATGTTCTACCATTTATATATACATATTGTGCTGCATCGACCTACACAGACTTGTGAGGGGGCCGTTCCATCCGAAATAAAAGAATGCGTTGACTGTAGAGCTAGTAACAACCTCGATATGAGGGGATTTGACTAAATCATAAACACCTATAAACAAGATCAACATAAACAAGATCAAGGTCATGGATATTGTCAAAGGCCAGAACGAGGATGGTATAACCGAAGTGGGTCTGAACTAACCCGATTTGTATAATGTACACCACCACCTGGGCAGCGCTTACAGGCCACTTTCCACGTGGACACATTGAATTTCAACAACCGTTTCTCGGATTTTAGAACGGAATATCGGATAAATTGTACAAAGTAAGGGGTAAACCTACCACACTTTCTAAATTTTTTTTTCTAAGAAAAAAAAGCTAAACTTTAGATGAACTTTCTAAGTCTTCGGTCACAACCGATATCTCCTTTTTTTTTTCTTTCTCGGCTAATGCCGAAAAAAGCTGTATGTAATTGTAGTTCAACCGATACATCGGGAATAGCCGCAATTCCAAGGGAGTATGTGTAGCGAACCCGGAACTTTAGGGCCACTTTTCTCACTTTGATAAATAATTGCGCGATATTTATTAAATCAAAAAGTTAGAGAGTGTTTTCGAGGGGAGTTGCCCAGACTAGTGCGGGTTATCTCGATCAAGCGAATCAAAAACAATCCCACCTCCACCAATTACAGCAGATGCGTCTGGGATCTGAGGTGAGATTTGCTCTCCATGGAATAATCCATACATATGATGTACATACTTATTATCTCATTGTTATACAACCCTTGGACGTATGTGCAGAACAAGGCAACTAAAATGTACGACGCCCTCAGCCTTATCCGCAACTTGGCCACTTCCTCCTTCAATGCTTAACCTTCCTGAATACCGTGAGATCCACTACGGACCACGGGACGTTGAAAAGGAGGCTCACTAACACGGACGAAATAGAACCGGAAGGACCACCTTTTGGCCATGACCTAGAATCAAAGAGCCTCTAAAGCTTGGGGGTTGGTGGGGATGGTGCGCCTGGTGGGGAAAAGAAAAAGAGCGCATTTACGCTTGCATTCACGCTTGCATGGACGGAGTATGCTGTTCATATTCCGAATCCGTTTTTTTTTTTTTTTTTTTTTTTTTTTTCATTCCCCCCTATTTTCCTTGTTTTTTTTTTTGAATCTAGATCGAAGTCAGCCAGTGCAAATCCCAACAGTTTCAAGGGATGTACTCTAAACAACGTGGGTAAACCCCGGGGTGCGCCCATGTCGATCCTGGAATCGCTTTTAAGGGTCATGAACATGGGGTCACGTTACTGACCCTAATTTAATTTAATTCGAAATATATTGTGAATTGATACCCGCAAATTAGTTTCGGGTGTTATTATGTCGATCAGGAACGAATTAGGAAGGGGATTAGGAAGGGAGCGTATATGTAAACAGTACTTTGTACCTTCTATAACAAGAACAGTCGTATATGCCCCTAACTTGGATGACGTGGAACAATAATTTGATCTATTTGGTAGCATAGGCAATATATCCACGATCAAGTTGGTGAAACTACGATTTTGTTATTGTCTTAAGTACCTACAATATAGAACATGTGATAAATGAGTACCGTCATGGAATAAAATATTAATTAATATTAATTTTCAAGACCAAAAGCAGACTAGCGTGCACGGTCTGGTATGTATGTCCCCATGTGGTAAGCATCTAAAAAAAAGAACCAACATTAAATCAAGCTCTCTCACTCGCTAGTTCTATACTGCTAATCATGGTCACTTCCTTTGTATGCCCTTCTTCGTGTTCTTCGTGTTCTTCATGGTGTTGCTATTGTAGGCACAAGGTTTATTCGTCTTACTGTGTACTACACCAAAAACGGTATACCTATTTAGGTAATCTTCATCTTAACAAGGAAACAAGGCGTTAATAGACTTTTTATAGATTTCTAATACAATCTACTCTGTAGAGAGCAGACACTACCAATGCAGCATCATCTCACCTGGACATCCTCAATATTATCCACATCCCCAAATTCGGCTATCAGCATCATAAATGGCTGACCGACGGTCCCAACAGCGCTACAAAATCAGAAGCGCTGTTTCAAAAGAGGAAAGAATAGACGAGTTGGTCACATCACTGCCCCTTCATTTGTAAGATTTGAGGCAATTTCCACGATCCACACAGGAACTACTCCGTAACAAGCAAAAGGAGACTAACAACCATGAGCCATGTGGGAGATTGCAAGCATAGGGGGGAAACCAGTGCGAGTCAGATCTCGGGCATAGGATTCCGCTTTAACAAGACTACGATTGGCCCACAATTATACATAATCCATATTAACATCGTGCCATCATGCATAACCTTGGAACAGGGCTGTGGTTACCAATGACGATCGATTTTAATACTATGTAGTCCGAGCAGGAAAGAAAAACAACCAAAATAAAAATAAAAAGCTTTAATTACACTGCCGATACTCCGTAAAAACCTCAGGCTTAGCCCGCTCTCTGACCCTAGCCGCAGCAGCCGATCACACATGGACAAGTCCACTCTTCTCTTGGCTTATATAAACAGGGATACGAAGTATAGGCAAGGGAATGCACCATGCATGTCTAAACTTGGAAGCAGGGGAAAAGAAAGAAAGAGGCTGTGGTAGTTCCCGCACGCTGCATGTGTGACTGTTTCTGGTTCTGTGTCTGATTTTCCATCTATATCCAATTACAAAGTACGTTTCAAAATCCCTGCAAGAATGCCTTGCAGTCCAGATCAAGATTCTCATCGCGGATCCTCATAATCTGCAGTAAACTCACATTGTAGATGGTGGATCACACGAGAACCCGATTGCCATACTCTCCTCCCCACAACCATCTACCTAGTGCCCGTGATTTGTCTTGTCTTTGCTAAACGGTCGCGATAGCTAGTGACGGGCGTCAGCACGGGACATATCTTAGCCTGGAATGATCCTTCGAGGTCCCCTGCATAATGTGCACAGCTTGTTATTTTAGTTTATTGTTCCTTATTCCATTTTAGGGATGTGCTTTGTAGAAGGAATGACTCTTTTCTAGAAATTAAAAAAAATTAGGGGAGTGTCTATATAGCGCGTTTTATGTATGTGATGCAGTAATACAATTTATATATTACATAGTTAGCTAAATCTTGCTATATCTAGATAGTGTATATTAACGCAGTAAGATATTTGCCACGCATGGTCTGGGATTCGGCTCCTGATGCTTGCTCTGCCACGAGGGTTACAGGGGAGCTATTCTCCGATATGTCGCATGGGGCGGGGTGCAGGGCAACTTAGTCAAACTTGTTCACAGGTGTTTGGGCCCCCGGGACAAGATGGTGTGTATATGTTGTATGGAGATTCATATATCCTTATAGTATGTAAATCAATAGTTCGATGCACAATATAGGAGAATATAGTAGGAAACATAGTAACCGTTCCACCAAGTGGTTTTCCCCCGGACGAACCCAGACAGTTTGAGATACGGAGCCGGGAGTTTGGGGTATCCGTCCACCCACAAGAGTTAAGGATCGGCACACTGAAACAAGAGCGTAAACCTTGGAAAACGACGAAATGCCAAGACCCGCCAGCCAAGGGCCCCGGGGCCCCTCCACTAGGCTGACTCTCTTTTGCTTTTTTGGTGTTTGATTTTTGATTTTTTGATTTACGCCCTTTCTACTTTGGGTTTAGTGAACTCGGACTAGTTCGGTTTAATCGACTTCAAGTTTGGTTGAGGCTTTGGTCGGATCCAATCTTCCCGTTCTGCCAGAGACCCTTTCCAACATATCCAACACTGAGGTGATATTGTTGTGATATATATAACTAGAAGCCACCAAAAGAATAGTGAGAATAAAAAAAAAAATGCAAACGTTTTATATTTTGGACTGTATACCTAAATTGCGAAAAGAAATAAATAATGTGTCGCCAATCAGTTGTTATCCATGCAGCCCTGCAGCGAGCCTCTTATATACCAATTCGGAATAGCCGCTTCCCAATCTGGTCCTCCGAGTTGCCTAAACCAGCGCATGCCCCACTGATATTTACCTTCGCTTTTTGATGGGGCAAACCCGTTGCATTCCGTGGGAGCTTGGACTCGTCGCCCTCGATGTGAAAGCTTTCCACGCGGAATTTGGAATATCAGAGCCGTTTTGGCGGCTTCGTTTCTCGTTTAATCCTCTATCTTTTGATTTTTTTTTGATTCTTTTTAGGAAAGGATTGCGATAGTATTTGAAATCCATTTCATTTCCTCTTATAATTAGCATTATATACTCACATAACTAGGGTGATAAGCACTAAATAATTTACAGTAATCATTCCACGACAGCGAAATTACGCTATCTCGAACCAAAACAGCCAACGGGCTATTCCGCCCAATTTCTTGTTATGGATCATTAAAGGGCAGACTGGAAAGTGCGCCTCAGCCGCACTCTCTAATGCAATGCCCCTGTCGTGTAAATTTAGTACGGCTTATGCTCTGATCATCCCGCAGAGCGATCATCACCTCCACGCCCGTGCTGGTTTTTTCTTTTTTTCTTTTTTTTCCCTTTTTCCCTG